AGAAAACTTATTTTTTACTTTTGAATAGATTTGAGTTGCAAGCAGACATGTCATACAAAGCAATTAATGTTGTTTTTTATGAGAAGACTGTATCAGAAAGGAAACAGAAGCTTTTACTTATCTGGAGGGAGGTGGAAATACACCAAGTTTTAGCCCATAAGGAATGTATAACTTACTAAAACTTGAGAATGCACATTTATTGACCAGAACCCATCTTTTTGCTCATACAGAGATATTTCTTATTTTAAAATAAGCTCAATCCAGTGAAATTCAAACCTTTGGATAAAGAACTAGTCTATTCCTGATCGTTTCTAGACTCCCTCACCATCACAATCCAATCTTTCCTACAGACTCATCTGCGGAATTAACGATAATGTAATTTCCTGATGAGATTGCAAATGTTATGCATTAACTTAAATAACAGTTGAGTCAGATCACTTGGTAGACACAAAGAGACAATAAAGGGCATAGTTTGAGCTCTAGTATTTTTCACTTACTGTTTGTTTCACATGCAGATAATACGTGTGACTTCTTTGCTGAGAACCCACTTTTAAAGCTCATAACTATTGCCCACATCTCTATTGGGAACACTATGTCTCCACGTAGTTGAAATCAGCACCCCAAGTTTACAGACCTTAGAGAAGTCAGCTTCTAACATTTGATAGCTCCTAACTTGAACCAAAGCAAAGCTGGCATTCAGTTATAGTAGCAAAGCTTTTTTTGATGTACAGGAATAGTAGACATAAGCATTCCAGTAAAGAGTTTTAGACTGTTAGTTTTATTCAGTTTTAAATTACAAAGTATTTATATCAACTTTATGAAAACATTATTATAAACAAAGCAGGTGTGAGGTGGGGAGAAAATCCTTTTGCAGTAGTGCTTGAATATGTAACTATATACACAGCCTAAAGAAGGCTTATTTGCTCCTTAAGGCATGTAAAGAATTTAGTACCTTAAAACTATCAAAGTTATTTAAGGAGTAAAAAATTGTCTAGTCATAATTGAGGTCAGATCATATTTTCATGAACTAGCAACCTCTTTGATAACAACCCAAATGTGTTGCCAAGTGCTTTAGCAAAAATGCATGTTACATGGTTTATGAAGCTCTGCAATGATTTTTGTTTTCTTACTTTTGTATAACTACATTAAATAGATGAGTTAGGGTTTTCCTCCTCACCTGTGTTTGAAAGATTGCATAGATTTTGGTTTTGGACAGGATTTAGAATAGTTTTTGGTGTTTTGGTTGTTGGGTGGTTTTTTTGTTTGTTTGTTTGGGTTTTTTTTAAAGGACTATCAAGATGTATAGAATACTGTTTCCTACTTTACAGTTGTGTGGATGCTTTTGGTTTCTTTGGATTCCTTAATTTCTCTTGGTCAATCTTTGCTTTAAGACTTGCATCTCAAAGCATGACAGAGTCTCATTCATGCTTTCTTGCTAACTTCTACTTCCGATATACTTTGCTGACACTCAATTGCTATCACTTGCACCAAACTGCTGTCAAGAAATGAACTGTAGATCTTTATGCTTTGTATGCAAGCACCACTCCAGCCATGGCTGAGTGCTGATGTTGTTGGAAGTAGTGATGCAGAAAAGAATAGTTTACTCCCTAAGTCTCTACCCATTCTGCCTGTGAATAAGGACATTTTTCTTCACATGTTTCTCCATAAAGCCAGATGATGGACAGCATTTATGCAGAGAACTGAAAAGCTTTGATTGCTTACTGATTAGAGGAAAACCCTGCAAGAATTACTTCTACAAAGAAGGCAGATGAGGAACGCTGCTTTTGTCATGAACTGGAAGAGAACAAGAATGTAATGAACTAAGTCGTGACAAAGTCACCTCTGAATTATGTTTGCATATGTATAAGAGAGGCATTGAGTTCATAACATGACTGGATACATCAAAATATCAAAACACTGTGCAGCACACTATATCAGAAGAGTGTTGAGGACGTTCTTCACATTTCCAGGGTTTGTTCAACACTTGCTTTAGCTTCTGGTGAGGATTATCCTTTGAACACAGTAATGGATTATCTCATGGCTGATCTAGTGTGCCATTGAATAGTTTCTGTTTCTTAAAACTGCTGGATTTTTATTTGGTTTAGAAATTATGAAAAAATAATGTAGGAGGTGGGGAGAAAATCCCAGATCAATAATAATAGACACGTAATTGAGGTTTCTACTGTACTATGATATAATTCTATAATTGTGTTCTTAGTTCTTCTATTTCTTGCACTTCTGATCAAGCAGAACAAGATGAATTTAAGCTACACTCTT